TGATATTGCGAGGATAGATCAAAACATAGTTATATTTTTGCCTTCACAAATTTGTATTGTCGAATCCTATATCTTTACCTTTAACAATTCTTGTTTAAACGAGAAACACCATTCAATCTAATTACTGTATTCTGTATTCTGTATACTGTATTAAAAGATTTAAATCCAATTCTATATTGTTCGTAAAAACTACAGACAATTTGCATTGTGCACACTGGTCGATTGTACAGGTGTATTATCCGGGTCGCTACAGGTAAGTGTGATTCAAAGTCTAAAATCATCAAACATTATTCTGTTTATTTTAAAAAGTTTTTATTAATTTGTCATTTTGTAATCACTTATAAGTTGTATACGCTCAGACCTATGGTTTTCCCTATTCCCCTTGTTCTGTATATGTATAGGATAAAATTATATAACTCAAATTCCCACTTCGTTTTGACATTGTTCCTATAACTAATTTTCAAATGTGTCAATTTGAAAGAGGCACTGTTGCTAATAACAACTATATATTTATATACGTACAGCAGGATTTGTTTGGTTATTTAATACATACTTGCTCATAATAAATATTTAATTAATACCAAGAAGCACATTTCAAAGCATGAAGTAATTTTCAGTATATAATCATTCGAGCTCCACCCCTGATCCAGGGGCCTTTAAATTCGCAATTCTGGAAGACGGACCGGTCACCCTTGCTCATTATACATAAAAGGTAGCTCATTTGCTTATCACTTAGGAGAAAAGGAGATGATTTTCAAGAAGTAATGTATTTCATTCTGCATGACTGTATAATCAATAGAGTCCCTCCCTTAATCCTGGGGCCATGAAATTCACAATTTTAAAAGAAACACCCTTGCAGTTATTATACATGTAACTAAAAATTGAATTTTTCTTAGAAATTCTTTTTAAACGCTACACCTCTTACAATTTTGGTCTGATTTTAATCTAACTTGGCACACATGTAGACTTCACTAAGATGTCTAAAGATTGCATTAATTTCGTGGTTTTGGCTCCATCCCTTAAACCAATGGGAACAAGGAACCATGAAATTCACAATTGGTTTTCCCCTTCATTCATACATTGGTTGAAATTGATTGAGCAGTTTCAGAGAAGAAGCTGAAAATTTTCCGATTGTTAAACTCGAGACACGTCAAGTGACGAAAACAGATAGCAATAGGTCACCTGGGTTAACTCAAGTGATCTAAAAATACATGTATATACAGTATTATTTTTAATTAATAAAACAAATAATCGAATATCACAGTGCAGTTCTAGTGAGAGTTTTGTCTTAAAGTTTATTCTATATGCTTCTTTCACCTGATTTTAAAGTATTCAGAGTTCTCTGAAAGCAATTCAAACATTCTGAACAAAAAGTTGTATTTTTCATAGCATACACGTGTTTTAGTTCCAAACATTTCTTAAATATGTTAAGAAATTTGGAATGTCTTTAAGTTTAACATAAAAAAGAATTGACACCAAATGTATAAGAAGTGTTTGGAATCAACATTATTTTGAACAACGGATTTACAAAAAGAAATACATCAAAACAAAACTGTATTTGGCACAACAACCAAAAGACAGCAAAAAGTTATTAAATGATCTGTCATGAATTTTAAAAGATATTTTTTTTTATGTATTTCATTTGGCGTCAATTCTTTTTTATGTTAAACTTAAAGACATTCCAAATTTCTAAACGTATTTAAGAAATGTTTGGAACAAAAACACGTGTGTGCTATGAAACAAAACATGCCTTATATTGTAACATCCAAACCGATCATTTTCAATCTCAATTTAAACAAGAGGTCCATGGGCCACATCGCTGACCTGAGCACTGTAGCCAGGAAAACATGCAAAAATAAATCCAGTATTGAAAACCTTAAATGCATGCGGTCTCAGCCTACCCCTAAAAAGGTATAAGGGGGATGATTTGAATTAACTTGAATTTACAAAGCATGCTTACATATTTCTTTGACTTATTTAGCTTTTTTCCCTATAAGTTTGAACTTTCATTTTTGCCCCACCCTATCCCCGGGGGTCATGATTTGAAAAACTTTAATCAACGCTAACTGAGGACGCTTCCATATAAAAATGACCAGTCATGCCCTTGTTGTTCTTGAGAAGAAGATTTTAAAGAAATGTTCCTAAGTATTCCTATGTTAAACTTTGGAGGTCCATGCCCCACCCAACCCCCGGGGGCTATGATTTGAACAAACTTGAATCTACACTACCTGGAGATGCTTCCATATGAATATGACCAATTATGGCTTTGTTGTTCTTTGAAGAAGATTTTTGAAGATTTTTCCTATTTATTCCTAGGTTAAACTTTGGTCGTCCATTGTGGCCCCACCCAACCCACTGGGGGTCATGATTTGAACAAACTTGAATTTACATTGCCCAGGGATGCTTTCATATAAATGTGACCATTCTTTGCTTATTTGTTCTTGAGAAGGAGATTTCTAAAGATTTTTCCCTTATATTTCTATGTAAAATTTTGATCGTCCATTGTGGCCCAACCCTACATCTGGGGGTCATGATTTGAATAAACTTGAACCTACACTACATGAGAATGCTTCCACCTTAGTTTCACCTTTCCCCATTCAGTGGTTCTTGAGAAGAAGATTTTTAAAACATGCCACCAAATTTTCACTATTTCTTAGCTATCTCCCTTTGAATACGGGCGTGCACGTGGCCCTTTATTTGAACAAACTTGAATCCCCTTCACCCAAGGATGATTTGTGGCAAGTGTGGTTGAAATTGGCCCTGTGGTTCTGGAGGAGAAGTCGAAAATATGAAAAGTTTACAGACGGACGGACAGACGGACTACAAAGAAATAGTGATCATAATAATTCACTTCAGCTTTCAGCTCAGGTGAACTAAAAACAAAAACAGAAGTCTCTAATGAGACCGGTCTGTACGTATAAAAACCAAAAGTAGCACTTGGAGTTGAAACTTTGCACCAGACAGAGTAGCGATTTGAAAGTATTTCTAGGAATTTTTTTTATTTTATTAAGCATGGCAACAGCGTTCATAAAAATCAAAAACCGATGCATTAAACTATGTAACTTAATGTAGTCTACTTGTGTGCCAAGTTACTAGCATATTGAAATAAACTGCAAGAGGGGTAGCGTTTAAATCGAATTTCTAAGAAAATTCTATTTTTAGTAACCACGGCAACACCGATCATCGAAACAAAAACTGGAAGTACTAAATTATATTTCTTAATGTAGTCTACTTGAGTGCCAAGTAAAATTTAAATCAGAAATAATACAATATCAAATAATTAAACTTTTGAATTAAACTGAAATCATATCAGAAATAATCCTGATATTTAAAAAAATCTCATTTATATACGTAGTACGATAGAAATATCTAGAAATAGAAATTTCTGTATATTTCTATGTCATCACATTCTGACATATTCTAGAGACTTCTTGATAATTCATTCATGAAACATATAGAACATTCTAGATTATACATCATCAATATTCTAGAAAATACATTAAAATTTCGACTGTTCGCAACTCGCCTCGCTCCAACATTAGATTATTTACATTGATGTTCAGCAGTCCAGTTCAGGAATTCTCTGTTGATATAAAGTCCGAAATATCTGACATTTTTATGGCAAGCCCTTTTGCTATTTATTCGGAAAATAGAATTTATCTGAAAATTACAGAGATATCTCTCATTTTAGAGAGATATCTCTCAAAAAATAGAGATATCTCCCAACGTAGAGAGATATCTCTCATTTTTAAGAGATATCTCTATGTGAAAGAGATATATCTTAAACTTAGAGAGATACATGTATCTCTTATACCTATAGAGATATTTCTTAAATTAAAACAGATATCTCTTCCTGCTTCAGAGATATCTCTTTCATGAAAAGAGATATCTCTGAACGTTAAAGAGATATCTTTTTCACCTATAGAGATATCTCTTTTACTTTTGGAGATATCTTTCCAAGTTAAAGAGATATCTCTTAAAGTAAAAGAGATATATCTCTTAGTTTATCTTAAGAGATATCTTTTAAAGTGAAAGAGATATCTTCCAAAAGTGTCTAAAGGAGATATCTCTCAAGAAAACAAAGATATCTCTTTATTGCAAAGAGATCCACGGTTGTTTTGTCCTACCTTAAAGGGGAGAACTAATTATTCTATTTTAAGGATGACTGGAAAAGAGATACCTCTTTCATTAAAAGAGATATCTCTTTAGCTTAGAAACCCTTAAGCGGATAACTTTTATTTTTTTTTTCAATTTTGCTCTAATTAGCGTTCAAATATACTTGACAAATGCAATTTCCTGTAAGATAACTCCTCACGTTACAGAAAATCATTGCGCTTTTATATAACACATATTTTAAATCATGTATACGAGCTTTTATGTAACCAGGACTAAAATATCAAAAACGTTCATTTAGATCTGAAGAAGTTCGGAAAATTGTTCTTTTCTTAGACATATCCTTTACAGTGTGATTTTTATATACATTTTTAAAATTGCATTTTTATGCCCGACCAATCGACGATTGGGGTGGGTGGGGGTGGGCGGGTGTTATAGTTTTTGCCGTGCCCGTCCGTCTGTCTGTGTGTTTGTCTGTTAACATGTATTCTGTTTGTTCGCAAAAACTTTTACCTTGCCCATAACTTTGAGTGACTGGAGCTTTCATATTTCACAGGTGTATTCCTTGTGACAAGACCTTTAGTGTGGGTACCTCCACATTTGACTTCTTGATCATGGACTTTGACCCGAGTTTACAAAAATTACCAAACTTTAACCTTGGTCATAACTTTTGAACAGTTGTTACAAGAGCGTTTATATTTCAAAGATCTATTTCTTGTAACAGGGCATTCTTATGTATACCAACAGTTTTGACCTTTTCACCTTGACCTTTGAATTTGACTTGCACTTGAGAAATTAAAACACTCGCCTTTTAAAGCTGCCATACTGGAGCATCCGTGTTTCACAAACTCATCTTGTCTTTTTCAGAAATCATGGTCAGATTTAGTTTTATATTCATACAACAGTCATCCTGGGCTTTACTTTTCTTTATTTTTGCACCAGTAAGTTTATATCTTATATTTATCATTGTAAAGTTTCATTTTTCCCAATACATGCAACGAGAACAAGGAGTCACAAATTATTAAAAGCATTTGGTTTGCAAAAGTTACAGAAACTATTGATTTTGAGTTTTGAGCTCAGCTGAGCCAAAGACTCAAGTGAGCTTTTCTGATCAAAATTTGTCCGTCGTCTGTCGTCGTCGTTGTAAACTTTTTACATTTTCATCTTCTTCTCAAGAACTACCGGGTCAATTTCAACAAAACTTGCCACACGGTATCCTTTGGTGAAGGGGATTCAAGTTTGTTCAAATGAAGGGCCACACCCTCTTCCAAGGGGAGATAATTATAATTTTTGAAAAATTAATGGCATTTTAAAAAAATCTTTTTTCAAGAACCACCGGGTGGGGAAAGATAAAACTCATGTGAAATCATCCTCAGGTAATGTAGATTCAATTTTGTACAAATCATTACCCCTGGGGTTAGAGTGAGGCCACAATGACCGATCAAAGTTTTACATGGGAATATAAAGGAAAAAACCTTTAAAAATCTTCTTCTCAAGAACCATTGAGACAGGAAAGATGAAACTCATGTGAAATCATCATCAGGTAGTGTAAATTCAAGTTTGTTCAAATCATGACCCCAGGGGGTAGGGTGGGGCCACAATGGCCGATCAAATTTTACATAGGAATATATAGAAAAAATCTTCTTGTCAAGAACCATTAAGACAGGAAAGATGAAACTCATGTGAAATCATCCTCAGGTAGTGTAGATTCAAGTTCAAATCATGACCCCCGGGGGTAGGGTGGAGCTAAAATGGCCGATCAAGGTTTTACGTAGGAATATATAGGGAAAATCTTCTCAAGTACTTCAAAGCCTTGATTCGTGATATTTATATGGAATCATCCTAATGAAATGTAAATTTAAGTTTGTTAAAGATATAAAGCCGGGATAGGGTGGGGCCAGAATGGGGGATCCAAGTTTTACATTATAATATATTAAAAAATATTCCTCTCAAGATTAGCAAAGTCATATTATTGATACTAGTATCTATATGGAAGCATTCTCAAGAAGTGTAGAATTAAATTTGTTTGAATCATAACACTCGAGGGTAAGGTGGGGCCACAATAATGGATCAAAGTTTAACATGGAAAAATAAAGAGAAAAATCCCAAGAACAGAAAAGCTATCTTTAGCCATATTGGAATGTAAGCATATGCATCCTCTTATATTGAAAATTTAAATTTCTTCAAATCATGGCCCTTTGGGGTAGGGAGGGAAATAAAGGGGAATCAAATTCAGTTAAATAATGAAATAATATGTACGAACAAAATGTTTAAAATGAATTCTTTTTATCAAGAACAGCAAAGTCATATGCTGTATTGATATGAGGGCATTCTCAAATAGTATTAAGATTCTACTCCACCCCACCCCAGTAAACTTTTAGTTCTGATCTGATATATGCTTATTCTTAGCCGATGAGCTCAGGTGAGCGATGTGGCCCCTGTGCCTCTTGTTTAAATTTTGGTTGAGATTTTCATGTTTATAGGGAAACAAAAATGCTAAGAAGTAAAGAAATGTAAAATAGACCATTATTTTTTGGAAACATCGATTATTTCTGTAATCTTAATGGGATCCCGAGAAAAAGACCCTGGCTATATATGTGTAGCAAGATTTTCTTCATGCAATTGTTTTTAGATTTTTAATCTGATTTATTTTTTTAGATTGAATCTAACTCAATCATCTGTGAACACTCTATCAGCACCATTGTATTCGTTTATGACTGTCCGCGATCATTGCAGGAATGGACGAAAGCATCGGACAGAAAACGGTGCTACAATATTCCTCAAAACTGTACGTCTCCAGATCAGTTCCAGTACCACTGTCTTCTGGATCCAAATAATCAAAGATTATTTGAAATATGTGCTACAAAACGAATAATGACAGGTTTGAATTAAATTGATAGGAGTAAGCTTTACGAATAACAGTCTTTCAAATACAGAGCATAGCATGTGACCGCCGTGACGTAATTCGCGCATGGGCAGGACGGTTACAGATATGCGTTAAAATCGGAGAGAGCTACTTTAAACAAATTTCAACACTAAACATGCTGAAACACTATATCATTTCCTTTCATGGAAGTTATTCAATTAGTCCGCAAACTTTTTGATTACCCCTCGTGTATGCATCATTTGCGAAGATAAACATTGGAAGTGCAACAAACTTCAAAACTTACTATTACATGCTGTGTTTAAGCTGTTAGTAAAAAAAATCTCACATTCGTGCATATTTACGACTTACGGTATCCGTTTTTTCTCAGACCCCATATATTTCGGTTATTGTCTAGATCAGTTTACATTACATTTTATCAAGGACCCCCATATTTTATATCATGGCGGATTTGTAATAAAACACTTTTACGGTTGGTTTGCTGTAGTTGGTAGACATCCCTCGCGAGAATTCTTCACTGAAATGGAGACGCCCCCACTTGCGGTGAAGAGTTGCAAATTTTGTCCCATACTGAAGGATCTTTTTCGTGCAAGCACCTACTGCGAAACGGGATCTCGGTTTATACGGTCTCATCCGAAGGACCGGTCTCCACGTCCCACAGTGGAATTCGAACTCGCGACATATGGATCAACTTCTTACACCGCAACTGTACATAGATTGGACGCTCTTACCACTGCGTCACCTAGGCGACCATTTTACGGGAAATGCCTTACAAAATACGAAGAAAAACGAGCTGAAATCATTGTCTATGTTCGCATGGCAAATTTAAAATATCACAAGATTGACACCCTTTATACGTGTATAACTATTTTTGCTTCCAATGACTTTTTTCTTTAAAAAAATAATAAATATTAAACTTATTTTAAATTATTTAAATTATATCTTTTCATAAAAATTATAAATATTAAAATAACCCTCCAGCATATTTTTGGTGTCTATTGAATGTCTGAAAAAAATTATTTAGGCCAGTTCTGTCCAAAGTTCAATATCCATGGTTTCCGGCTCGAAAATAACTATGGACGTCCATGTGTGAATGGAACACCGTCATGTCCGCATCACTACAGATCCACGGACGTCTACAAATGTGAGTATTGGTAAGCTTTAGCTTAGTGATTTACATTGATTGGTCAGACTAGCTATAAGTATTGGCAAGGTCCATTTGAAAAGGGGGTTTTCACTTGTTTTGTTACATTTGTATAATTAGTTTTATTAGATTTCTATCACTCATATATAGATATTGCTACGATGCATATCAACAACCAGGTTTGTTCTCAAAAATTTAAAATCGTATGCATTTCTATAACACAATACAGAAAATTGTCTCGTGGGGTGGGGGTGGGGTAAAAATATTATATATCGGGTAGGGCTGGGCAATAATATCGATATTTCAATATCTTGCAATATAATGACAAAAAATATCGTATCGCAATACAATTTTGTGATATCGATATATTGACAATATGCTTAGATTAAGGAATTTTGTCATTAAATATAAAAATGAACTTATGAAAGTGTGTTATTAAACCAAACAGTAAGTCAAAAGTTGTTCGTGGGAATATTTCAGAGCTTAACTTAAATGAAATCAACAAGATTTTTTTTCCGTGTTGGTTACTTATCATAGTTATGTACATTCTGCATGTAAATTAAAGTAAATATAGTAAAAAAAAATGCCATTTTTAAGACATTGAAAATATTGCAATACATATCGCAATACAGTTAAAAATATCACAATACATCGCAATACGAAATCTCGGGCCAATACCCAACCCTAATATCGGGCCAATCAACGAACAGAATTCCTTTGCACCCGTTTCCATTTTTTCTTCTAATTTCAGGGTCCTTTTTTTATTCGGGTCTTCAATTTTCAGAAAAAACATATCGATGTGGTAGATTGTTAGAGTAATGTTTAAATGTTTATTGAAGATAATGTAACTTTGTTATTCTGCCTATATTTTGATATAGATAAAACTTGTTACCCGCAAGTGCATATGAGGTAACCATTAGGAACAATCTAGAAGTACTAACAGCAATATATGATTGTGTTCTGAATATTGAAACCTAAATGCTTATTCCCTTAACATGTAAGATGATGAAAATAAACTATAAACCAAAGAAATTTTTTTGATAACGCATAAGTAATATTTGAAAAATTTATAAATCACAGAGTTTGTTTGTAATTAACATGGTTTGAAAAATAATTGTGCGTTTTGTTTTGTTTTTGTTTTTCAATCATATTGTTTTCACTTTGAAATACAGAATTATAAAATCTGTCACTACTTCTTAGACAGAAAATAAAATGAAATCGTTATTTTAATTGGAAATAATTTTATAAATGTGTATTAGTTAAGCAAAATGGAAAATCTATTTACAATTTTACTGAATACAACACTAGTTAAACTAATGCATGTAAGTTTGGATTTTGTAGTTTAAGCCATTTGATTAGAAATGCATAATACAAAATGCAAATCTGAAAATTCCAGTTTTAAAATAACTAGTAAACTTAGTCTAGTAAACTAGTCTAGTCTAGTCTAGTCTAGTGTAGATACTTTCTTTTGTGAAACTAAATTGATTTTTTTTTCAATGTTTAGGAATTTTTTTGTCAAATATCATGATATTTCTGATCATTTTTTTTATTTAAAAAAAATTATTGAAATTCCGTATTGATTCTTGTAGGTTAAGAGGGACACTTAAACAACTTACAATTCCAAAAATATGTAAGAACAAATTTATATATTTGTTTTAATTTGGATTATTTTCAGCAGTTTGGATTCACATGGTTTCACCACAATAAATATACTAGGAGGCAATACTTCTAAGACAACAAAGGGAATGCATGACGAGTAAGTTCTACGTCATTAAGCTTAAGGGTTGGTTAGTGGTGGTTCTATATTTGTTTATTTTTCTGACAAGACCTAATTCCCTTTGAGACCAAAATTTATAAACCAATTGTCTTGGGAAATGGCCTACTTTAAAAATTATTGGCCTGAATTAACAATTGAGGCAAAGCTTTTCTTTGCGTACCTGCATTTGTGACATATTAAGCTTGACTTTGAAATTTAACTTAGTTTTGAAAAACATTTATCTTCGTCATAACCTTTAAACAGCTTTTGATACTTAAAGGCTTTTATATTTCACATGCATGTGTATAGCTCGTGACAAGAACTTTCCTCGTTTACCAACATTTCCGACCTCATGACCTCTATATTAAATTTTTTACTTACCTTAAAAATACCGATGATAATTTTTAGCTCACCTGAGCCGAAGGCTCAAGTAAGCTTTTCTGATCAAAATTCGTCCGTTGTCTATTGTCGTCGTTGTCGTAAACTTTTCACATTTTCATCTTCTTCTCAAGAACCACTGGGTCAATTTTAACCAGACTTGCCACAAAGTATCCTTAAATGAAGGGGATTCACCCTCTTCCAAAGGTAGATAATTATGAATTAGTGAAAAATTAATGGCATTTTAAAAAAATCTTCTTCTCAACAACCACTAGGCCAAGAAAGATGAAACTCATGTGGGAGCATCCTCTGGTAGTGTAGATTCAAGTTTGTTCAAATAATGACCCCCGGGGGTAGGGTGGGGCCACAATGGCCGATCAATGTTTTACATATGAGTATATATGGAAAACCTTTAAAAATCTTCTTCTCAAGAACCACTGGACCAGGAAAGATGAAACTCATGTGGAATCATCCTGATGTAGAGTAGATTCAAGTTAGTTCAAATCATGACCCCCAGGCGTAGGATGGGACTACAATGGCCGATCAAATTTTACATAGGAATATATAGGAAAAATCTTTAAAAATCTTCTCAAGAACCACTGGGCCAAGAAAGATGAAACTCATGTGGAATCATCCTCAGGTAGTTTAGATTCAAATTTGTTCAAATCATGACCCTCGGGAGGAGGTTAGGGCCAAAATGGCTGATCAAAGTTTTACATAGGAATATTTAGGGAAATCTTTTAAAATCGTCTTCTCAAATACTTCAAAGCCATGATTAGTGATATATATATATGGAATCATCCTCATGTAGTGTAGATTCAAGTTTGTTCAAATCATAACCCCCAGGGATTAGATGTGGTCGCAATTGGGGATCCAAGTTTTACACTAAAATATATTTTTAAAAAATCTCCTTCTCAAGAATAGCAAAGCCATGATTACTGATAGTAGTATTTATATGGAAGCATTTTCGGGTAGTGTAGAAAAATAAAGCCAATTAAAGGGAAAATACTAAGAACAGAAAAGCTTTGTTCAGTCATATTGATATGTAAGCATCCTCATGTACTGAAGATTTAAATTTTCAAATCATGGCCCTTTGGGGTAGGGAAGGGAAACAATGGGGAATCAAATTCAAATTATTATGAAGTTATATATAGGAAGAAAATGTTTTTAAAAACTCTTTTTATCAAGAAAAGCAAAGTCATATGCAGTATTAAATATGAAGGCATTCTCAAGTAGTATTAAATTTCACCCCCCTTCAGTAAACTTTTCAGTTCTGATCTGATTTGTGCTTTTTCCTAGCCAATTTGCTCAGGTGAGCGATGTAGCCCCCTGTGCCTCTTGTTTAAAAATTAATGCAGGGCTTTCATATATCACGTGTATATTCATTGGGACAGGAATTATTTTTAGATGACTGGAATTTGTTTAAACCTCTTCATCTTGGCCCTTTTGAAACAGTTTGTATTATAGAAATTTTAACCTTAGCTAGCCATGACCTGTGATGGTAGACAAAATCGTTTTACAAACACATTCAATGGTTTAAATCTTTTTTTCATTTCCAGATCGAACCTTTCATTTCCAGTTTATGCAATAATTATAATACCCTGTATGTGTGTAGCAGCAGTAGTCGTCATCCTTATTATTGTGATAAAATGCCTAATAAAGAGAAGACGTAAAGGTCAGAAAATGATTGAATCATATCTAAAATTGTTTTATTGTTTGTTTTAACTTTACATTGATTGGAAAAAAATAATTGAATACTTTTAGGTTCGCCAAGGAACATCAATGAACAAGAAGCGTTAAAAGCCAATGATTCCGCATTTGCCATTGGAAAAAATGAAAAGAAAAACTTATTCAATGTATAAGAAAGGCATTTTGGTGCTGGGAAAAAACATGAAAATAATAAGGTTCTTATTGATTTCATTACTCTGGTTTTTTAAAAAAAACAATTTAAATGCCTTAAGATGTTTTATTACATGTACTTTATATGGCTGTCGTCTGCTTAGTGCAGTGGTTAGAGCGATTACTCTATTCGTGGAGATACAAGTTAGTCTTATGTCACGGGTTCGAATTCCATAGCGCAGTAGATGCTAGCCAGAAATAGATCCCTCACTGCAACAAAGTAAATACAATGTATATCTAAATTTTAAGTCCTATTCAAATATCTTATGTGCAATGTTGTCGACATGTATTTCTTATAATGATTGAACGATTTGCAGAGACTTTTATCACAGTTTGATTTATCACGTACATATCTCTAATAAAACAAAAAAAATCAATAGCTCTTCCGTTTGTTATTTCAAAATTGTTTCAAAAAATTTGAGCGATGCCTATTACATGTAGTTTATTACTGTGAAATAGAATATTTTCGTGGGGTCAAATTTTAGAGGTCTGAGGAAAATGTACGGTTCCATATTCGTTCGCCCTGAAAATTGTTCGCCCGATGTCCCGTTCGCCCAATTTCTTGTTCGCCCAGAGTTTGTTCGCCCAATTTCTCGTTCGCACAGGGTCCGTTCGCCCAGATTTTATGTAGAATATGATATAATAAATTTCTTTCTACATTTTTAGTTTTAAGGGAAAAAATGCAATCTGAAAATTTGAAAGTCATTGTAGGCCGCAAAACGGCCTTATAGAGAATGATCCTTTCATCTTCAATCTTCTTATAAATCATTTTTTGAGATCAAGGGAGATTCTTCAAAGGTAAAACCTTCAGGATCCGCTGCTCAGTTCTATAAGGGATCTATTAACGTCTCAGTCCCTTAATTGTTGTTAAAACATAGCCCAATTCGTAAAAACAACACGGGTGTATCCCCCCAATTAACATCGATAGAAGTCATCTATTTAACTATAGTGCAAACACTTAGTCATTAATAAATACATTAGAATCAAATCAAAAATTATTTAAGACTAAATAAACATTGTGTCTGGTACAATAATTTGAGAAAAAATTAAAAGGAAATAAAAATATTTGATAATCTTTATTTCAAATAAGTTGATATATATATATATAAATATATATATATATATATATATATATATATATATATATATATATATATATATATATATATATATATATATATATATATATATATATATATATATATATATATATATATATGTTCATAATTTATATTTATATTTATTATATAAATAATATGGTCATAATTTTGTCGATCTCTCCATATACCTATAAAACAGCGAAAATCAAACCTCACGAAACTTAGTGATTACACAGCATTTATATTGTCCATGTTCAACTTTCAGATTTTTTTAAACAATAACCACTTGTTGTATTCTTACCAATCAGGTTTTATTGATTGATTGATTGTATACTGTTTAACGTCCCTCTCCAGAATATTTCACTGATATGGAGACGTCACCATTGCCGGTGTAACGTTGAATTTTGATCCGAGTTGAAAATTGACCCGAGGGTCATTTTTCAACGTTGAAAAGTGAGACCAAAGGTGTTGAATTTAGACCCTAGTCCGTTGAAAACTGAGCCGAATCGTGGAATTTTAATCATGAAACCGGTTCAAAATTCAACAGCATAAAACACAAAGGCATATTTATGACTTGGTTTTCACAACTGTGATTTAATTCATAGGCGTTGGTACAGGGGAGGGGAGTTAGGGATGCTTACCCTTTTTTTGCAAAGATAGACATAATATAGGCATCGAACAATGTGAAATTAGGTTAGTTTCCCCCTGCTTTCAACAGGCACGTTACAGTGTAGTAAAAAAAGAAGAGTAAGTGGTAGTGTTTAAAAAACAGTATTGGATCACCCACCCCCACCCCCAAATAGGATTTTCGGGTTCGGACTACAGTACTAGATTGGACAATGGATTTTTTTCTTGTCAGTTTTTTTTTTAGATTTGAATTTTTCTTTCTTTTTCAATTAGCCTCTCCCCCTCCCCCCCCCCCCGCCCCGCACTTTCAATTTGCTTCCGACACCAACGTAACCAATGCACACTTAATTCTGTAATTCAGTTATATTCTGAGAATGAAATATTTAAAAAATATATCTTAGATTTCAAAGTTACATGTAGCTTAATATTGCAATATTTCGTGTAATATTTATTTAAAAAGAAGTATACATTTGTATATGTAAATCCGGAATATTAGTAAACATAGTTAAACAGTATAAAATTTAGTTTATAAATTTGTTTATTCATGTTTGTTTGTTTGTTTTTTTTTTTGCTAACAACACTTCATTTATTTTAATTTTAAAATTCCTAATATTAGTATTTGGAAAATGGTGAGATTTTAACGCATGATACACGTGCTTATTTAGTTATGCACAACATTAATAACTTATTTATTTTATTATTATTTTTATTTGTTTTATTGCTTTGTATTTGTGGCTGGGCTTTTTTCTTCATTTTTGTAGTTCTTTTAATCAAAATAAAATTTGCCTTAGATACACAACCCTTACTTTCAGCGTTATTTAATATTTATAATAAAGTAGCCAAAATAAAACATTGACCCCCCCCCACCGAATCGGGGAAACACAGGATAGTTTGTGAGGAATTTTTGAAGCGGCCCTTCCATCCATTTAGAGAAACATGGTTTGGTTTTCAACATGGGCTAGTTTCCCTTTCCATTTTTTGTTTGCTTGTTTGTTTATTGTGTTTCGTTTATGTATTTCGTTTATGTTTTTGTCACAATATTTTAGGGGGTTTTGACACCATTCCCCCGCCTACGAGAAAAAAAAAACTTTAGGATCCTCTCTCTCTCTGTTTCTTTGAAGAGGAATGCACTTTTTAGTTGTTTAGATCAAAAGAAGTTGCAGGGACGGCGTTTTTTTTAATTGTTGATATCAAAGATGGTGGGAAGTGCAGCTTCTAGTCCATCCCAGACTCTAACTCTAGTTCTCATTCTCAAGGTTATGCTCCGAAAACGATCGATTTTTAGGCAGGCTACTGATAGATAAGTTTGTTACAGGGATTTCACCAACCTTGTATAAAGTCAACATTATACTTACATTTTATGGTCGCTATATTGATCTTTTCACAAATATAACCTATCATTGGATTCATGTTGACCGATGTGTTTCATTCTAATTTTTAGGCTTTTAATTTTGTTAATTTTTAAACTGAATTTGACTAGATGGGATGTTCTGCCCACCTGATCACTTTAATACCGGTATTATATACGGCTCACTTTCTAGACACCAGATTTCCAGGATGTTTGTTTTATGCCCTATTCATGGTTTTGTACACGTAATTATTTATGGATGTAGATTTTAGAAAATATTGTCAAAAATACAGTTGTCATTCTTGAAGATAACTTAAATCGTGTATCAAAATGTACATATTTACACGGGATGATAGGTTTATTTCTATTTTTCTTGAAAAGGGAAAAAATTGAAACCAAAATATAAATAGAGAGATACTGATACATCCCGCAAAACAACTTCCAAGTTCAAAAAATGTTCAAACTCTTATAGTTGGGATCAATATTCAGCAGGGTCTATTTTCAACTCGTTGAAGTCATCGGGGATAAAAAAAAAAATAAAATATCAAGCTGTTGAAAAATGACCCCGGGTATGAATTCAACGACTTTTGGTCTCAATTTTCAACGTTGAAATAACACCCCTGGTTCAATATTCAACGTTGAAAAATGAACCTAGGGTCAATTTTCAACTGGGGTCAATATTCAACGTTACACCGGTGAAGGGCTGTAAATTTAGGCCTATGCTTGACACTAACGGCCTTTGAGCAGGGAGGGATCTTTATCGTGCCACACCTGCTGTGACACAGGGCCTCGGTTTATACTGTCTCATCCAAAGGACCGCCCCATTTAGTCGCCTTTTACGACCAGCAAGTGGTACTTAGGACCTATTCTAACCCGGATCCCCACGGAGCCCACTCAGGTTTTAAAACAAATTTGCAACAGATACTTGTTTAACACATATGTTAGATTTTATTAAAAGTAATACATCCAAAGGCTTTTTACAGGTATGGTAATGTTAGATTTACAAAAAGCTTTTGACACTGTTGACCATACAATTTATGTGATAACTTAAAAGTTTTAGGAGTTTTATCCACTTAGTGGCTCAAATCCTATCTGTCTTGTAGACAACATCAAATTCATGTCAACAATTCTTCATCAGATTTTAATTCCGTAAATTGTGGTGTTTCTCAAGGCAGTATCTTAGGACCTCTTTTATTTTAATACATGTCAACGATATGACTGTCAGTATTAATGATGACTGTAAATTAATTTTAAATGCGGATGACAGTGCTATTTTTTATACACACAGAGATCCTGCTATTATTGCTCAAAAAATGGGCATTGTTCTTGACAAATTTTCTTCTTGGTTAGTTGACAATAGACTGTCACTCCATCTAAGTAAGACAGAATCTATTTTATTTGGTCCCCCAAGAAAGCTTAAAAGTATCACAGATTTTAAAATTGTGTGTAATGGTCACATTATTAAAGGTTTTGACAGTGTTAAATATTTAGGAATCTGTATTGACAAGTTTCTTTCATGTGAAAATATTGTTTTAAGTATCATACAAAAAGTTTAATTCTAGGCTTAAGTTTTTACATAGAAATTATGCATTCTGACTTAGTACACAGTCTAGAAAGACCCTATGTTCTGTACTGATACAATGTTATTTTGACTATGCCAGTTTTTCTTGTTATTGTGGAATAAACGAGCAACTTAAACACAGATAACAAGTAAACCAAAACAAAGTAGCACGGTTCATTTTAAACCTTGGTCCTAGAGAGAGTATCTCTAACAATATTTTATACTCTCTAAATATGTTAAGAGTTGAGGATAGAGCTAAACAATTAAGATTAAATCATGTTTTTAATATATATCATGGTAATGCACCTGCTTACCTCCATGATCATTTTGTATTAAATAATAATATCACAGGAAGTGCAACAAATCAAAATTTTGTTATACCGAAGATAAAAGGGAAAGAGTCTTCATGATTTTTTTCTATAATGCTATCAAAGATTGGAATACCTTGCCACGGGAGATCAAAGAGGTGAAAACAAAACAAAGTTTTAGGAAAGCTGTATGATCTTTTTTTATCTACAAATACTAGTGTTACTACATAAAATGCTTGTCTAATTTTTATCGTTTATTTACTTTTTAGCTCACCTGAGCCGAAAGCTCAAGTGAGCTTTTCTGATCACATTTTGTCCGGAGTCCGTCTGTCTGTCTGTCCGTCTGTCTGTCTGTAAACTTTTCACATTTTCGACCTCTTCTCAAGAACCGCTGGGCCAATTTCAACCAAACT